GGAGAGAGTAGGAGGGAATTGCAGTATTTAGAAAATGACTTGGACATTATCCAATCTTACTTAGAATATGAACCTTCTCTCACTTTAAAACCTTTGAAACCAAGCCAAACTCCAATAAAAATGAGAAACAAACTCAAATCAAGGGGAAGAGACAAGTTCAAAACAAAACAAATGTCAATAACGACATCAACAAGTTTTATAGTAGATGAACTAAAACCGGTAGGCCTCACAATTTTTAGTATCATCAAGAACATAGGTAGTTGGTAGCTCCTATATCTAAAGGATTTGATGAGTCTGGTGGCATAGTAGGAAATCTGGATCTTTTAATTCCTTTAAGGAAGAAGCCAAGAAGTTGTCTTGGAAGAAACTCTAAAATCCCCAAAGCGGAAAGAAGCTGTCTTGGAAAAAATGAAAGCATTAAAGAAAAATAGTACATAGGAGGAAGCTGCTCTACCCCAAGGAAAGAAAGCTATGAGGTATAAATGGGTATTCATGATGAAATATAAGGATGACAAAACCATTGAGAAATTCAAGGCAAGACTTGTAGCAAAGGGTTTCTCACAAATCTATGACACAAATTATAAGGAGACATTCACAACAATTGCCAAATTAAGCACCATTAGGATCTTGATGTCACTTGCAACAAAATTAGACTGGCCTATCTACCAGTTAGACAGCAAAAATGCATTCCTAAACTGTGGTTTCCCAACTAAACAACCAAACATGATGAGCAAATTGAAGAAGTTCCTATACAGCTTGAAGCAGTCACCACGTACTTTGTTCAAACTATTGACTCATGTCCTGAGGAAAGAAGGCTACATATAGGGGCAAAGTGATCAGCCCTTTTCTTCAAACACAGGGTAAAAGAAAACCATTCTGAGCGTATACATAGGTGATATAGTCTTTACTGGAGATGATTTAGAAGAAATTGAAAGGATAAAAGCAGACTTGGCACAAAAATTCCAAGTACAAGACTTGGAAGGGATAAAATACTTCTTAGAAATGGAGGTGGCTTGATCAAAGAAGGGAGTCTACAACTCTCAACACAAGTATGCACTTGACTTACCCAAGGAAACAAGCATGCCAGGGTGCAAACAGCTCTACCCTTATAAAAGTTACAACCAAGAGAAAGAAGAAAAGGAAGGGTGAATGCAAGAACAAAGAAGCTAGTGAAAGTAGTGAAGAAGATGAAGAGGAAAGTGAAGGAGATGATGTTGATAAGGGCAGGTACCAAAAAATAGTAGGAAAGCTCATCTACCTCTCCCATACTAGACTTGATATTGCATTTGCAGTATGGCCCAAAGGGGAAAGACCTCAAGGCAGCCTATAAAATCATAAAGTATCTAAAAGGCACACCAGGCTCTCCCATACTAGACTTGATATTACATTTGCTCTTGAGAAGCAAGAAACAAAATGTAGTATCATGAAGCAATGTAGAGTTAGAGCACCGATTAGTAGCACAAGGAACATGGAGTCCTAGAGGAACTAAAGATCAAAATGGAGTGTCCCATGAAATCTGTAACAATGGTTATCTCCAACCTGTTATTAACCTTTTTAAACTCAAATTTTAATAATACTAACCATGGTAGAAAAGAATCTCAGTATAATCTTTGTAAAGGCTACCATGGTTATAAAAAGAAATTTGATTCGTAAAAAAAATGCTAACCATGATAGAAAAGATTTGATCTAGTTATCCAAAATGTCTATCATGATTATAAGAGTTTTACTAAACAAATTGTATGAAAACAATAATTAATAATATTTCACAATAATTGGGCCTTGGGCTTTGCGAAACCCAGAACGTCACATCCAACTCTAAGCCCATAACATGATATTTTCTAAATAAAATTCTTTCAAACCAATAGTAATCAACTACTTTTAAAAGTCATTATGGGCCCATAACTCACAAACACAAGCAACCTAGCAACAAAACTAACTAAGACCATAAGTCTTAGATAAATCAGGGTACGCAAAAAAAGCTGTATGTGGCAATATACAATATTCATCACATGGGAAAAAGGAGGCTATACAAGATAAACTTGATAGCTAAGCCTCCGCCGCCTTCCCTGATGGACCAGCCCTAGAGCTATTACCTGAAAATGTTAAACCACAGGGTAAGACAAAAGCCTCAGTAACCAACAATCTTACTCATCAGGCATATAAGTAAGTGCTTGAGAGATGTCAAGTGAAACAGTTACAAAAATCATAACATTCACAATTGTCATATGGTTATATATATATATATATATATATGCATATCAAAATACAATATCTCACTCTCAATTCCACCTTATTTTCTCACACCTTATTTCCTCTAACTAAACCTATGGACTAGTACTAACCCATTTGACTGGTAGCTCAACATAATAAGCTCGTCGATTAAGTGATGTGAACAGGTCAAAGTCCACAGAGCACAAGACCAGACCATAGGTTCCCCCTCTAGTTCAGTAGCGGGGTGCCATATGCCTTACAACACATGAAAGGGCCAAAGGATCAACCAGTGTACATTTGGCGTCCTCCCACCTTATTACCTTTATAGTGTGTACAAAATTCACCCCCTTATTCTCCCTGTAATATGTCTCCCACCGATCAACATTCACCATCCCCTCTCGCATTTATACTCATAAGATTTATAAAATAATCATCCACATATAACATAATAACTTTCACATTTACCGAAATCAAGATTTCTAAATTTCAATAATCAATATCAATCCTCAAAACCATTTCTCAATGAATTCATGTACCACATGACAATTTTATAAATTCATAATTTCATAACTATTTTTTAATAACATAAACTATCTCAAGGCAATTTCAACAATAATACCTTTCATTGTTCAAATCATAGCCCAATGGCATTTTCAGAATCTCAAGTAATTCAAAATCACTCACAAACATCATAGAAGCATACATAACAAGTAGAAAGCCTAAGGCTATAAAAAGAATTACCACAAAGTCAACTCCGTGCTCAAATCAATGATCCAATAATTAATCTACACAATTAATATAATCAATTAAGCTTATATATATTAGTTAAGTTTCTAATTTAATTTAATTCAATTTTTATTCTAAATTCCCACAACTCTCATAACAAAAAAATTAAGTATTTTAGAAATAACTTATAATTCTCTAACAAGCCAAATTATTTATTTACATCCTCTAAATTATTTAATCAAATAAAAAGAATTTTTCCAAGATTTCCAAATATGAGCTTATTATGTTTTAAACTCTAAAAATCCCATTTAAAGTTCAAACCTCAAAATCAAATCATCAAAAAATTCAATAGTAACTCAAATATTTATAAATAAATAATCTACTCAAAATTCTAATAGTATAACTATCAGGTTTCTTTTTCTTCACAAATAATAAATTCTTTTAGCTAAAATAATTATTTTAAAACTCCAATCAACCAATAAATAAAACTAAACAAATTAAAATTTTAATAATATGCCAAACAACCCAAATAAATTATTTAACATAATTTTGATCAGTAAAAATATGATAAATATCATAAATAACAAAATTTTCAACTAAATAAATTAATTTAAATACTAAAAACCAACAAATGGGCAAATCTAAACCGATAGAAATGATCTAATATAATAGATCTACAACACTATGGTTAACACTCATCAAAACTAAATACTTGCTCCAAACCCTATACAAAAAATTTTCTTTGAGCAACATGAAATCACTATCATTAGATAGATCTAACTGAGTAGAACAACTTTCTTGAAGGAAGTTTTGTAATTAGGAGTAGTTTTACTTATCAAGATGATCTGTAACGATGGAGAAAGAAGGGAAATCTGTAACGATGGAGAAAGAAGGGAAAGAAAGAGCAACGCTACGAGTGAACAACCTAATGTGGAGAGAGAGGGAGAAGAGAAGAAAAAGACGACGAGAAAGTAAAAAACAACGCTACGAGTGAACAACCTAATGTGGAGAGAGAGGGAGAAGAGAACGCTACGAGTGAACAACCTAATGTGGAGAGAGAGGGAGAAGAGAAGAAAAAGATGACGGGAAAGTAAAAAACAACGCTACGAGTGAACAACCTAATGTGGAGAGAGAGGGAGAAGAGAAGAAAAAGACGACGGGAAAGTAAAAAAAAAAAACTTTCAGAGTAAAGACCCTATTTAAACCCTTAGAATAAAATCTGGTAGTGAGAACCAAAAATGTTGTAGACACTTCATTGGATAAACCCTTAGAATAAAATCTGGTAGTAAGAACCAAAAATGTTGTAGACACTTCATTGGAGAAAAGATTGATGAACGGTTGGTCACCTTTGCTCATGTGCCTGCATGCAAATATCTTTATAGAGGGCTTATGCAAAGAAAATTTGAAGATTTTACGGGCAAGTTGCAAGTTGGACATGATTAACATATATAATTCTAAGATTTTTATTCGATTCTTTTATTCGTGATTTCTGTAATCTAGAGTTATAGGTGTTTGTAGTTCTTCCTTTTTTATCTCGTTGAATCCTTGTATATAATTGTGTAAATATTCCCGGTGAATATACAACTCTCAACTAAAAGAATTATTTTTATTTTTATATCTGACTATACCATTTGGTTATAAACTCATAATTGAAAATTAGAATTGGAGAGAAAAAATAGAATACCATTTGTACTGTGCTTCCGCAGTACCGGGTCTGGAAGGTATTCAATTGCTAGAGTGACTACCCTTGGCTTAGCAGCTCGAGATGAACGAAACCAAATAGTCCATATCCCCAAAATAAACAACGGTTATGCCTCCAAAGAATACAGGGTCACAGATTTCTTTTTTATTCTTCTCTCAACTCTTTCATTGTAAGAATTTCTTATTTGCGATTTATTTTTTTTATTTTTATTTTTTGGATTCTCCCAACCATGAAATTAGTAGCTAGAACGTACAAATAACTAATAAAATTACAAAGCAATCTTCAATTATGCACATTGGGTTGTTTATATTTCTCTATGCTTTGGTAGATTTTCCTTTCATTAGTGCCTTGAAGAAATGGCTCGAGAGGACATAATTTAAATTTACTGTTCATAATTATACCTTGCATTTTTTGCATGCCAAACACTATAAATATGAAAAATTATAAAGCTGCAGTTTGGCATCCAAGTTTCTTTTGAACTACTACTCATCGAAAGGTTCCTCAGAGATATTATACAGATAAACAAGACATCGCCTTTTTCCCCCTTCTACCACAAGGAATTGCTTTCAATTACTTCTGTTCTTTATGTGGTAGAATTGCCTTGCTAGTTTTAACATTTGAACCTAGTGTCTTTCCTCAAACTCCTTACAGATTTAGCTTGTTTGCATCATATATCCATGTCCACGAGAGACATTTACCGGCAATGCTTTCTTCTCAACCGAAGGCCAGCAAACGTTGTCTTTATGGGCACAAACGTTCATCATGTTCCGCTCTAATGGCACCTCCTCTATACACACACACACATTTACATATAGGTGTGCTGAATAAAGTCATCCCCTTCAGTAGCCATATTTATCATTCAAGGATGTTCGTCCGTCGCCTGATTGCCCTGCACAAGACAATAAATTACGCGATTATTCCAAAGAAAAGTTGCCGCTCACGAATAGTAAGCATATTGAACCTGATAATTACCTTCAGGTGGAACCCATGCATCACCATCTGTATCGCCACTCAAAAATGATGGTTTCTCAGGTCCAAGAACTCTCTTAGACTTGTTATTTGCATCTGATGTACCATGGTGTTCATTTCCTCTCTCCTCATCACTAGCATAATATCCCCTTTTATGCTTTAACAATAGTGCCACAGCATCCTCAACTCCAAGTTCTGGGCCCACGAAGGAAGATGCCAGTTGCTGAGAGGCATCTTGTCCATTTGCTTCAGATTTCTCAACTAGCTTTCGTTTTCTTAAAATCAAACCAGGAGCAGCAGACTCAATATTAGGTTCTTCTGGGCCCACGAAGGAAGATGCCAGTTGCTGAGAGGCATCTTGTCCATTTGCTTCAGATTTCTCAACTAGCTTTCGTTTTCTTAAAATCAAACCAGGAGCAGCAGACTCAATATTAGATTCTTCTATTGCCTTCGCATCACCACTAGTGCCCAAAATTTTGTTCCTGTCCTTGTAATCAATAAATGGTTCAGACTCAACATCCATCTCATGTAGATCCAACGCATCTGCATTTTGTTGGCTGTCAATAGTAACCCTATCCCCTAGAGCTCCAAGCCATTGGGGCTTTGGCATAGAGTACACGACATTCTCATCATCCATTTTGGCAGAGCTGCCTTCTGACTTATCCAAGCTCATTGCCACATCCGCTTTACCAGAAGGCTCAGCATTTCTCCGGATTTCTGCAGGCAGTTTCTTCTTGTCTTCTTTCGCACACGTCTCACCACTTCTCTGGGACTCCATAGTTTGTTTCTTCTTAACGATAGGGACAGCTTCCTCAGCTTGGCTAGGCTTGCGTTCATGTGCTTTCAACTCCCTCTTCTTGGCAGCTTCTCCTGATGGGTCAGCAATCTTCAGAAGGTAGCAAATCCTATCAAGCTCAGACTGCAGTGTTGACAAATCCTTCTCCAGTTGAACACTTTTATCATATACTGAAAGCAAAAAGGAAATCATCAGCAAAGCAAACTAAAATGCACTAAGCAAATCTCAATCATCCGTATATCCCCATTTTGTCATCCATGTTTGTCCACTGGAAATGTACAAAAATCAAACACTAAAATTTGCTCAGATAATATGTAATCATACATTATATCACATATGATTGGAAGAAAACTACTCTCAACAAACATAAGCATGGCAGCATATCTAACAAAATAAGCCTTAAACTTCAGAAAACATAACATGTTATTAGAAATACTTGCCAAGTTGAGATGAAAGCCCTGACATGTATGCATCAAGTGTGTCGCCAACTTCATCCTGTATCTCACTTGCTGAAGGCATTTTGTTTTTCTCTATTGAAAACAGCTCTTTCTTCTCGCACATTTCCTTGATGATTGCCTCCTTTTTGTCCAGAAGAGTATCAGCAGTCTCAATTGATTGGCTGCCATCAGCCTTCTGGTGTGTAGGCCTTTTCTTTGTCCGATCATAAAATTCATCATCATCACTGAACAAATATTACCGCAATGAAAATTTAAGCATCATCATATATGTTGATACAAGTAAAGCAAAACACGAATGGTTTATGTAGTCTCAGCACTAGCATTTAGGTTTGGATGTATTGCGTTATAAGTGTTGTATGGCCAAAAGACAGACATTGTTTATGTAGTCTCATACCAGGTGGTCGCAAGTAATTCTTATCTTAAGTACATACCAGCTACTAGAGTTGAGTTCTCCATGATTACAGAGATCTCCATCAATTGATATCTCTTTCACCCTTACTGAGCTTGTAAGGGAGAAAACCATTGTCTCTTAAAGCGCCAGAAGAATTACTTGTCGCCACTTAATTTGAGACTCCATCAATTTAACCTCCCTCTCTCTCAAACGGGAAAAAACAGGAAAAAGGAAAAGGGGAAAAAAATTTCAGCTTGCTGAAAAGAGAATACAAGAAAGTAAAATAACCTAGAGCAGAATGAATGGTTATTACAACATGAACTTCCAGTCCTGCACACTCACAGTTTAATCTACAAAAAGAGAATGGCATGATGATTCGAAAAGAACTTTACAATTACAAAGATGACAAAAATGGCAGCCTGCATGTTTCAGTTGTGAATCTGACAAGTTCATGATTGCATAGGACCTTTACTGTCTAACCTAGCAGGCATCCAATACCTCTTTACCCAGAAATGGGCATCATATGCAGGTTAATGTATACCTCAAATATTCCACTTCATCTTCAACAGGACCTTTCTTCTTCCCAGCGGATAACTTCCCACTACGTGCACCAACACTTTCCCTAATGCTATCGTTTAGCGTTTCTTCCAAGTTTTCAAGTTCTTCCATCATCTATTCAGTAACAAAAATGCATAAGAAATATCACTATGCATGCTTACAGATCAGTATATGTAACAAAGCATGTTTTGATGATATACAAACACAAATTCCCAAACCATACAGATTTACAGAATATGAGGAGGGGATTGAGATAAGTCCTAGGCTTGTTTATTGTCTCCTAATTTACCTGAGTTATTCTTTGCTCATTCCGAGCAATCTGAGTCTGTTGACCCTGTGTTAATCCACCTTGAGAAATGTCTTTAACGCGTATAGCATTGATTTCTTTCTTCATGTTAGCAATCTGCATCAGGACAAGTGACATCAGTACAAAGAAGGTATTGTGTTAAATGAATAGTGCTAACTGAAACTATCAAAAATCTCGAACAGCTAGACAAGTTCAACTTTACAAGAATCAACTCCCAGGAATGCTTTTACATGTAGCAAAGAATATTAAAGCCAAATTGCAGAAACGATGAAGCATAAGAAGAATATGATTTAACAATGGGTTAAGGTTCAATTTTCCCTGAAAGTTTTAGCAAAGGAGCTTTAAGTGGTTGGAAGTTTTTGTTAGTTCAATATCGCTTAGAAAGTGTTAAAAAAAGCGATGTCACCCCTCGACGTTAACACTTCTGGGGCAACAACCATGGAAATGTTATTGGGCACTTTTCGTGATTGCCATTTTCAAAGCCGATATACTCATTTACCAAACTTAGCGGACCTTCACAGTACTCTAGCCACTTGAAGATGTGAGACAGCTATGCATTGACATTTCAAACTAATCTTCACTCAGTCACACCAACTTGAAGTCAAGAAAAGAAATCAAACTCATTGTTGAATTTAGATAAAGAACGCATTGCCTCAAACAAAGGAGATCCCTTTTTCCCATTAAATTTCCAACAACCATCTCCTATAACGCATTAACTGAATCCAATTGTCATTCAATATTCTGGAGGCATTCTCAAGAAGATCCATTATAATATTGTTCATCTTCTCTATTTTATTTTGTATTTTTGTTTCTTCCTTTATAGAGTTAGAAAATCATCTATAACCGTCAGGTCTTAAAGACAAAATCAGATTTCGTTCCTTTCTTCTCTACCCAGATTCTCGCTACCTTGAATATAATTAATACTAGGAATATTTGCTTTTATTACTATTGATTGTATTCAAATCCTGGGAGCCTATATATATGTAATTGATCCCAAAGCATAATACATACGAAATATTCATACAATTCAAAGATGGTACCGGAGCACTAGGATACAAACAAATTCCGACAATTTCCCGCCTTAGTTTGGGTCCATTCGACGGAACCAGGGAGTTCAGATTTCAACTGTGACAGCTTTCATGTCAGGCTCGACACCTCATGGGGTGTCGACTCCAGCTGGGTCAACCAGCTCTTCACTTGGGTTGCAGGTGTTGGCCGACCCACAGGAAAAGACACCCCGAGGCAGTAACTGAATTTGCTCCATCAACCGAGACCCAAATGATGACCATCGGGCACAAACTGAACGGCAGCAATTATATGTAATGGACGCAGAGTGTCCTCCTGTATTTAAGGGAGAGACGTAAAGAAAAATACATCAATCAAGAAGCACCTCAGCCCTAAGCCACTGATCCAAGTTTCGACACTTGGTTCGCCAAAAATAACCAAGTTATTACTTGGTTATGCAACTTAATGACCTTGGAGATAAGTGAGGGCTACCTGCTTGCTCAAATTGCAAAGGAGATTTGGGATACAGAATATATTCCTCAATGGATAACACGGCTGATTTATTCCAGCTCAAAAGGGAACTCAGAGAGCTCGAGCAAGGTAACCTCACGGTAACTCAATCCTATAGTACTCTTGTGTATATGGCAGCATATAGACCTCTATGAAGTTCATTCATGGAAAGATCTTAATGATGCCCAATATTATAGACAAATCATAGAAAAAGAGAGAACCCACGAGTTTCTATTGGGACTCGACGATACTTTTAAAGAGGTAAGAGGTAGGATTATGGGAATCAAACTTTTGCCCTCTTTATTTGAGACCTTTAACATGGTTAAATGTGAAGAAAGTCGCAAACAGCTAGTTCAAGGCACCACTAATTCACTGGAGACCTTAGCCATGGCTGGGAGGGGACCGAACTTCTTAGATCAAAAGAACAAGGGAGACAAATGGTGTGACTACTGTAGCAAGAGGGGCCACACTAAAGATTTGTGCTGGAAATTGCATGGCAAACCTCCCAACATAAAAAATAAACAATGGTCAGATGGAAAAAGCCACCACATTGAGAGCAAGGAGAATAATAGAGAAAGCCTGAGCAAAGAAGAGCTTCAGCTTTTGCGGCGAATACTGGAAAAGCAGACTACTATCCCTAATGCAAATTTGGTAAAGTCAGGTAACTCTATAATTTCTCTTAATATTGCCCTAAATCATGATGATATTTGGATTGTTGATTCTGGAGCTTCAGACCATATGACTGGTAATAAATTTTCTTTTAAAACTCTCAAATACTATCATGAGGATCTTAAAGTTAGAGTTGTAAATGCAATTAGAACTAGAGTTTGTGGCATTGGAACCATTGAATTATCTGAACATATAACTATTGAAAACGTCCTGTATGTCCCTAAATTAAAGTGCAACCTCCTCTCTATAAGTAAACTAAGAGCCACAAGTGCTCAGTTTTGTTTAATGAAAATGAATGCATCTTCCAGGATCTGATCACAGGGAAGAGGATTGGCACTAGTGAGGAATAGGATGGACTCTACTGCATGGTAAAAACCAGCACAAATAAAGGAACAAGACACGCAATGGTTAGCTCCACCAATTCTCATAATGATGTATTGTTGTGGCATTATAGGCTAGGCCACCCCAGTTTTGATTACATAAAACACTTGTTCCCAAACTTATTCAATAAAATTCTATTCCTTTTCATTGTGAGACATGCCAATTTGCCAAACAAACAAGAACAACCTACCCCAAACAAAATTATAAACCAATAATGCCCTTTACTCTAATTCACAGTGATATTTGGGGCCGTGCTAAAACCAAAAGTCTCTCTAATGCTCGCTAGTTTGTCACATTTATAAATGATCACACACGTGTTACCTAGGCTTATCTTCTAAAAGAAAAATCTGAAGTGTAGACGTTTTCAAAAGATTCTATTTTTTATCAAAAATCAATTTCAAACGTCCCTTAAAATTATCAGGAGCAACAATGCTTGTGAATACTTAAGTAAAATTTCAAAGATTTTATTGAACAACAAGGTATACACCATCAAACTTCTTGTGTTTACACTCCTCAACAAAATGGAGTAGCTAAAAGAAAAAATAGACATCTATTGGAAGTTACTCAAGGAATCATGCTAGGGAAAAATGAACCAAACATTTTTCCAATCATGCTAGGGAAGCAGTTCTAACTGCCACGCACTTGATCAACCGAATGCCCACTAAAGTACTCAACTTTAAGACCCCTATTGACACCCTCTTTGAAACCTATCCAAACTCACCTCCCAAAATTTTTGGGTGTGTTGTTTATGTTCACAAAAGGGAAGGGGGAAAACTTCATCCTAGGGCCGATAAATGTATTTTCTTAGAATACTCTTCAACTAAAAAGGATTACAAATGTTGTTGTCCCACTACCAGACGCCATCATATCTCCAAAGACATTGTTTTCTACAAGGAAGATGCATATTACCCTAAATTACCCATTCAAGGGGAGAACTATGGAGCAGAAGAATGGCTAATTCAAGATTTAAACTTACAAGCAGCACCTCCAACTCACTTAAACCCAATCAACCTGAGCCACTGTCACTCTCCAAACACATCTCATTTTGCACCTGAAACTGTCCCAACTAGTGAAATTTCAAAAAACAACGCTGAAAACGAACCCAACACAGATACATGGAAAATCAAATAACCACTGAGGATCAAATTGAAGCCGAGGAGATTCCCTCACTAATGACAGGGAAAGCCAACAAAACACTGAAGAGCAATTCCCTCCCAGTCCTTACTAGTGCCAAGAAACCAATCCTATATCACAAAGTAAGGAGTTGGGATGCCCTATAGCTCTCAGAAAGGGAATAAGATCTTGTACCCAACACCCTGTTCAAAGATTTGTATCTTATGGCAACTTATCTGCTTGAATGCGAAGTTTTGTAATGAACAGCTCACAGGTGAAAATACGAAACTCATACCAAAATGCTGTAGCTGACCCAAATTAGAAGAAAGCTATAGAGGAGGAGCTAAGAGCATTGAAAGAAAATCACACATGGGACATTACTACACTTCCCAAAGGAAAGACAGCAGTTGGTTGCAAGTGGATCTTCACCACTAAATTCAACCTAGAAGATTGGTGGCCAAAGGACACACTCAAACATATGAAATTGACTATCAGGACACCTTTGTGCTCGTAGCTAAACTAAACACAATCAAAGTTCTTCTCTCCCTAGCAGCTAACCTAGATTGGTCTCTTAAGAATGCTTTTCTGAATGAAGACCTAGAGGAAGAAGTATACATGGAAATTCCTGAAGGAGTTCAGGGACCTGATAAAACTGTAAAGGTGTGCAGACTCAAGAAAGCACTATATGGATTAAAGCAGTCACCTAGAGCATGATTTGATAGGTTTGCTTAAGTGATAAAGAAGATAGGTTATTAACAAGGCCAACCTAATCTTCCAACCAAAAAAAAAAAAAAAAAAACAAGGCCAACCTAATCACACTCTGTTTGTAAAACACAAGCAGGGCAAAGTTACCATACTTATTGTGTACGTGGATGACATTGTGATAACTGGGAATGATAAAGAGTCTGGTGAAGACCTGAAGAAAGCCTTAGCGATAGAATTCCAAGTGAAAGATCGCGGAGAAATGAGACATTTTTTAGGCATGGAAGTAGCAAGAACTAAAAGAGGGATAAGGTGTCAAAAAGAAAGTACACACTTGATCTACTCCATGAAATAGGGATGCTCGGAGCTCAAACTAATGAAACACCAATGGACTCATCTTGCAACTTAGAGATAAGACCCAATGGAGTGCCAGTTGACTCAGAAAGATACAAGAGGCTAGTAGGAAAGTTGATATATCTAACCCATATTCGCCCCGACATTAGCTACACAGTAGGGGTAGTTAACCAATTTATGCACCAACCTCAAGAAGAACACATGGAGGCTGCGTATCGAATACTCAGATATCTTAAACTCAACCAGGGAAAAGGAATATTCTTCGCAAAAGGTACAAGGAGAGATATTGAAATATATACAAATGCAGATTACGGAGGGTCAGCAGAAAATCGAAGATCCACCATTGGATATTGTACCTACGTAGGGGAAAACTTGGTTACATGGAGAAGTAAGAAACAACCAGTTGTGTCAAGAAGTAGTGCAAAGTCAGAGCTAAGGGTAGTAGCACTTGGAGTGTGCGAAGGAATCTGGATCATCAGGCTATTGAAAGAACTGAATATCCCATGAAGGACCACTCCAACTTTGGTGTGATAACAAGGCTAGTATTGAAATGACTAGGAACCCAGTCTACCATTACAGAATAAAACATGTGGAGATCAACAGAAACTTTATCAAAGAAAAGGTTGAGGGAGAAATAATTAACCTCACCTACATCAAGTCACACAATTAAATTGCAGACATCATGACAAAACCACTAGCTAGAGTTCAATTTGAAGGGTTACGAAGCAAGCTGGGAATGCTAGACATATACTCTCCAGCTTGAGGGGGAGTGTTAGAAAATCACATATAACTGTTAGGTCTCAAAGACAGAATTAGAAGACAGAATCAGATTTCTTTCCTTTGTTCTCTACCCAGATTCTCGCTGCCTTGAATATAATTGATACTAGGAATATTTGCTTTTATTACTATTGATTGTATTCAGATCCTGGGTGCGTCTATCTTTTATTACTATTGATTGTATTCAGATCCTGGGAGAGTCCATCCTCCCTATATATATGTAACTAATCCCCAAGCATAATACATACGAAATATTCATACAATGCAAAGAATAAATAATCACAAAAAAATCATTAATCTTAATTTCTTTCTTTGTTTTGTGTTCTACCTTCTTAATTTTGGAATTAAATTTAACATTGACTCAACGTGAAAAAAATTTATTAGGTTTAGGGTAGGTTATATCTTTTAAAATGGTTTTGAAACATATTTTTAGGGTAGGGGTGCGAATAAAAAAATTATAATGTATTACGTGTAATTTTTCCAAGTTCAGCCTATGCTTTTAATTTTCTTTTAACTTCTGCCTGAAAGACAAGGAAACAATGATGTTTCCAAGATGAGCATTTGGAGCTCAAAGATTCACTAAGCACCAAATGCAAACTTGCCTCCATACGTAATCCAATACACTCACCAATAATCCATCACATTTTCTCTTCTACTTATCTTCATCTCCATGCGAGTTCCTGTGCCACAAAGGGGAGTTATGCTGGTCGATCTTTTCTCGTATAAACCATTCGTTATTTCCTACTTTTAGAATTGACTATTGAGACTTTGATTATCTTGTTGAATTTCATTGTGATCAAACAACTGCAAGTTTATGTTTGAATTTATACACCCGGATCACTAAGATCGGCCCCTGGAGAATGTACATTGATAGTCAAACCATCAAGAAAATCAAAAAGAACAATTGCGGCTTGGACAACATTTTATGATTGCATATATTTTATCATTTATTGATTAATTACATGTTTGATTCTTACTCTAAGCATTAAGAAGAACAAATTATAAATTTAATATAAATTACATGCTAAGTCAAGCAACTATAGTTTCTTGAAAGACAGAAAATTGGAACTAAATGGTCTATGTGTTGAACTATGATAGCCACTAATTCATTCTCAAGAAGATCCATTATAATATTATTCATCTTCTTTATTTTCTTTTATATTTTGTTTTTTTCCTTTATAAAGAGTCATAAACAAATCATTAGTCCTAATTTCTTTCTTTGTTATGTTAATTAATTTTGGAATCAAATTTAACATCGACTCTGCAAAAAATCTAGCTAGGTTGATCACTATATTATATAGAGGTTAAGTAGAATTAATTTGATCGTGATACAACTAGTACTATCAATCACATTAACTAGGAAGTGGTTATACCAGTTTCTTCCGAAATTATAATCCATACGGCATCAGCAATTCTAGCAAATAATGCATTTAAGGTTATCTCATTTTATGTCACCTGAAGTTCTTTTTTCAAAAAACAAAAATCACTGTGTCAGCACTATTTATTTCTGGCACTAGGCACTTAGGCAGCTGCTAGTGTGGACAAAGACGGATCCCCTGCATACATATTTTTTTAACACAAGATTCAGTCATGAGAATTCAATAGTTAGATTATTAGGTGGTTTACGGCGTAACATGGGAATTTCTTTCTTTCAAATGTATGAACAAAAATCAGCACACTGACCTCCATTCCTAGCTCGGTCTTTATGCAAAAATCCTTCAACACATGTCATGAGCACAGACACTGATAAATGAATGCAGGGGATCCATTGCAGCAACAGGCATACTAACCCAACCATTCCTTCAGGGTACTTATCACACTATATATCAATTAACAGAATATGATTGAATTAAAGTTCTTTGACTTGCCTATGCAGATTATTATTAATATTCAATATTGTGAAAGCGGATTTTACTATAAAATCAAGCAGTATAAGATGGGACATTTTATAATGAGTACTGCTCACCTTTTCCATCCTTTTTGTAATTTTTTCACGAGTTTTTTCCTGCTTTTCAGTGAGCTGTCCTTTATATGATTGCCATGTTACTTCATCAGAATCATCCTGACATTTGAATCCGCCAAATGAATGAGCAAGAAAGAAAAATTGGTCAACTCAAAAGCTCTCACAACAAAGGTTCATCAACAAAAACCAAGACAAACGGTAGTTCAGAGGGGGCAAAGCATTCAGAACAAAATCAAAATATGCCCTGCACAGCATAACTACAAAATTCCACAAACCTCATCTTCTTCAATAGCATCCTCGCTCATACCCCATGAAATGCCATCAGCAAGGGATGCTTCCAATCTAGCCCGCTGAAGTGAAGCTTCCTGATCTACAATTTGCTCACACATCTTGAATTGTCCCATGATTTTCGCATCAGTTTCCTAATAAAATAAAGCCAGGAAAAATGCTTAACCAATACATATGCAAAATAAAAATATGTGGGAACATTGTGCATTGATTCGAAAATCAGTTATTATTGTAAATACCAATTTGCAAGACTATGTAGTGCCACTAGATTAGTGGCTACTAAATGATATATGATCACAACTGCTAATCATTCTATTTGTCAAGGTTCAGATATGTGGATAGTAGATTCAAGACCTACTAATCACATGACAAGAGAAATTTCCTTATTTGAGGATGGGTTGTCAAGATTGCTTCATATGTAGATGTTGCTAACACTAGAACAGTTGTTTTATCACCCACTATTATACTAGATAATGTCTTATATGTTCCAAGTTAGCTTGTAATCTTATCTCTATTGGAAAGCTAACTACATTTAACAAGGCCATTTTTATTAACTTTGGGTCAAATGATTGTGCTTTTCAAGATATGAGATTGGAAAAGATGATTGGTTGGTGTCATTGTGATGGAGATCTCTACTATTTTGGAAGGGTAGCAGTAAAGCAAGCATGTGCCACAAGTTGTTCAACTAGTAATTCCTCTAAGTTTGCCACTAGAAACTCTATTCTTATATAAAGCTTTCACGTTTTTGTTCTGGTCATCCTAACATGGATTATTTTAAAAAGTTGCAGCCTTCACTAATGAATAAAGGTCTTTCTCAATTTACTCATGAAATTTGTTCAATAGCCAAGCATACTTGCAGCTCCTAACCTGCCAAACCTTATAAATCGTCCAAAGCCTTCAATTTAATGCATAGTGACGTCTAGGGACCATCAAGAGTTAAAAGTCCCAGTGGGGCATGATGGTTTGTCATATTTATAGATGATGATACTTGTTTTACATGGCTGTATCTTCTAAAAGAAAAATCTGAAGTTCTTCCTACCTTTCAGTAATTTCATGCCCTGCGGAGCTCAAGCCAAATGATAAAAATCTAATGCTGAATTTATATTGAAGATCCAGAGAGCTGGAAGAAAGAAATTTACAGCAAAAATAAAGCTTAAACTCTCGAACACTAAGCTACTGGAAATGATAAAACTAAGCAAACACTCTAAGAAAACTCATGGACAGATTTCACTCTCACAGCATAAAGAAAACATGATGAAGAAAGACGAACTCCCTCACTAAACCACATCTCCATAAACCCACACTAAACCCCTCTGTGCAAATATATACATCACAGAGTCCTCCGCCCCCCACCCACTGCATAAGCTTCACACACTCCTCACTTAAGCTTAGCCCATTAAGGGGGTGTTTGGCAAAAAAGCCAAACCATGGTTTGGTTTGCCAAACCTTGGTTTGGCAAAAAATTTGCCAAACACCCCCATTTTTTGTAAAACCGAGGTTTTGGGCAAAACCAAGGTTTTGCCAACAAAACCTCGGTTTCCAGATAAGCTAGCGGGGGTTCAATTATTGGCTCTCCCCAACAATTCAGCTCCCGTGGTTTCCAGACTCTCCCCAACAATCTCCCGAGGCTCAACGGCCAGCTCCACGGTGAAGAAAACAAGCACGCGGGGTTCCTTCAGCTCACGGTCAAGACCCATTGTTCGGCCTCTTCTCTCCCATTCCGTCGGCCCTTCTCCCACTGCTCTGAAGATCTCCCTTCTCCTGTGCCGTCGCCCCTGCTGAAGAAATCGGTTCTCCTGTGCCGTCGCCTCTTCATCCCATCGGTGAGATCGTGAACCGCTGAGGAATTTTCAGTGCCGACGAGGTGTTTCTCGGCCTCCGAGAAGAAGATCGTGTATTGGGTTGCCTGATCCAAGCCTTCCATTTCCGGTATCGTCACTGGTCAGTTCATCTGAAGTCAGTTGATTCTTCCACCGTCGCCCCTTCCGAAGCTCTGGTCGCCGTGTCTTCTTCCGTCGGTCAGATCCAACTCCTTCCGGTAAGCTGTCTTCTTCCGTCGGTCATTGTGGCTGGAGATCTGGTGCATTAGAAATTCTGTGTCCCGTCAATTTTTTCCCCGAAACAGAGGTTCCGTCAACGTCATTTTTTTCTTCCGAATCAGATGTTGGTTTCACCGATTGCCTATGCTATGCTCACTTGTAGAGGCTGATTTTGTTTGATGGTAATCATGTGTGTGTGTATACGATGGCTGGTTGTGCTTCGTGTGTGTGTATGTGTTGAGCCTAAGTATACGTACGTGAGAAAGAAAGCCCAAATGTAGCCCAGTTATAAGGGTGTGTGCGTGAGTGGCGTGAGCCCGGTTTATAAGGGTGTGCGTGAATTGCATGAGAAGGGTAATTATGGTTTTTAGTAAGCAGACGGTTAGGCAGGGGAACGGATATAAGTATCTGTTAGTTGCATGTAAGGGGCATGGAAATAGTGAGTGAACAGTGAGGAGAGTGGTGATCTCGAATGCACCGGACTGCCTGATTCTTCCTTGGTTGTATTCATCCACTGGGTTATGCTGGTGGATCGTTTTGGTTATATCCAATAATACAGTAAATCTGGAGTAGTTTCCATCAAAGGTATCAGAGCACTGCGCATCCTGGTATGGTAAATACGCGAAGGGATAATCTGATGGAGGACGTCACTTCCCGTGTAACTTCCAATGAGCAAAAGGTGGAGCAGCTGTGTGATGAAGTCTCTATCCTTAAAACAATGATGGCCGAAGTCTTAACCGAGCTACGTTCAGGCAAACGACCGGACGGACAGAGTACTCACCCTGAGGATTCCGGTGATCAAGGGGGCTCTGCTGTTCCGAAGGAGGATTCGGGGCATAAGGTCAAAATCGTCGAGGTTGAGGATCGTGGGGGTAACGACGACACGGACCACTCAGCATACAGGAAGCTCGATATGCCTCTGTTTTCCGGCGATGAACCGATGGGCTGGATTTTTAAAATCGAGCGTTATTTCAAGGTGAACAAAGTGAAGGAGTGTGATAAATTGGACGCCGCCGTGTTGTGTTTTGAAGGCCGAGCACTGAACTGGTTCCAGTGGAAGGAGATTCGATCTCCCGTGACCGATTGGAAAGAACTTAAACGTGATTTAATCCTCCGCTTTCACCCCTCTCAATATGGGAGCTCATATGAAATGTTGATGGCCCTGCGTCAAACTCGGTCTGTGGCAGACTATATTGAGCGGTTTGAGCTAATCTCCGCCACGCTCGAGAATTGCGACGATGACGTATTGATCGCAGCTTTCTACAACGGGTTGAAAATGGACATTAAGGCAGATCTTCGGTTGATGAAGCTTGGTTCCCTCGCCGAACTCATGGATATGGCCATCAGGCTGGAAGAGAGGAATTGGGTGTTCTCACATTCGGTGCCCCCACGTGGATCCGGTCCACAACGAACATGGACCGAGGATAAATGGGTTGGAACTCGAGCCCATTACACCCGCAACGCGTCTTCAATAGACTCAGGCAAGACACCAGCTGCGTCTCCCTCGAGTGCGGCTAGCGAGTCAAAGGGCACTGAAAACTCCAAAGCGGTGTCCATTCCAGTCACTCAAGTCAGTCGGACGGTCCCTAAGAAATATACTGATGCTGAGATTGAGCGACGACGCGAACTGGGTCTCTGTTTCAAGTGTGATGAAAAATACCGCCCAGGTCATCGCTGTAAAAAGAAGCAACTCCAGGTACTCATTGTATCAGAGGACGGCGACGGTGAAGATGAACTTCCGCAAAACCCACCACTGCCATTTGACCAGGACTCCTTCCGTGAAGACGAAGTATCCACGCCAAGCCAGCTCGTGTCCTTGTCGCTAAATTCATTGGCTGGATTTACAGGAGGGAAGACCATTAAGTTAATGGGTTCGGTATGTGGTAAGGACGTCTTGATTCTCATCGATTGTGGGGCTACCCATAGCTTCATTCATCAGGATCTAGTCAAGTCCCTTCCGTTGTCGTTCGATCCTACCATTGCTTTCACTGTCCAAGTTGGAGACTCACGTAATGTGCAGGGTCGTGGAATTTGCAGGGATGTCTCTATCCATGCACAAGGGCTCCATATTGTTCATTCGTTGTACCCATTTAAATTGGGGGGGTCGGACATCATACTTGGGGCAGACTGGCTGGCTTCCCTTGATGAAGTTTTAGTAAGTTGGAAGAGATCAACCTTGAAGATTGACATGGGAGGAGACTGGATTTGTTTACGGGGCAACCCAGCATTACAGAGAACACCTATGTCTTTCAATTCTTTGTACCGATCCACTAGATGCGATGAAGAGGTGTTCCTAGTTGAATTCTCTGAACTTAAGATAACTGACTTAACTATCGCTCCCATTAGTACCGACGTTCAGAGCTTATTGGGGGAGTTCCCTGAAGTTCAACAACCAGTGCAAGGTCTACCTCCTGTTCGGGATACCGATCATACTATCGATCTACAACCAGGAGCAAAACCCCCCAATGTTCGGCCCTATCGCTATCCACATCATCAGAAAACAGAACTGGAACGCCTGGTTTGTGAAATGATGGCTTCTGGAATCATACGACCAAGTAAAAGCCCGTTCTCTAGCCCAGCTCTTCTAGTTAAAAAGAAAGATGGCAGCTGGCGTTTCTGTGTGGATTACCGTGCTCTGAACAAGTTGACCATACAAGACAAGTTTCCTATACCAACTATAGAGGAGTTGCTCGATGAACTTGGTGGGGCTCAAATTTTTTCCAAGTTAGATCTGAAATCCGGTTATCACCAGATCCGCATGAAACAAGGGGAGGAACCCAAGACAGCTTTTCGCACTCATGAGGGACATTACGAATTTTTGGTCATGCCCTTCGGTCTGAAAAATGCTCCTTCAACCTTCCAATCTCTCATGAACGAAATTTTCCGGCAGCACTTACGCAAGTTCATTCTTGTCTTCTTTGACGACATTCTAGTTTACAGTGGTGATCGAGTGTCTCACTTACAACATCTCCGAGTCGCCTTGCAGATATTACAGCAACACTCTCTGGTTATAAATGCTAAAAAGTGTGTGTTCGCTCAGCCCCAGTTAGAGTACCTTGGTCACATCATCTCTTCCGATGGTGTCCATGCTGATC